GTATGTCACACTGTAGAGACATCCTACATATCTGAGGGAAGAAAGCAGAATGAGGAAATGAAGAAAAGAATATCAGATAATAGCAATGCAGTATTTTTATTTTCCACACTAATTTCAATGACCAATTCAGAACACATGAATATGGTCTTAAATTTTCACATGTCCTATTATGGACAAGCTGAACACTAAGGAATCTAAGTGTCAGCAGTTTGGTATTTGACAATTCTTGGAAGGCTAGGTAGTACTGATATTTTGTTCTTTCATATTGTTTTATTTTACTCTTTCAGCTCCAAAATCTATATATAACTGGATGTGGACATGTGAGAGGGAATGTTATTGTGTTGTTTGGCAGAAAAGAAGGAAAATGTGCTAAAGTGTATAGATTAGAGGAATATTTTCAAAGGCACTTTTCTCACTACTGTACATCAGGAGTGGTCCTAGTGGAAGAGTCATAGATTTAGGTAATTACTGCATGTTTTTAGAGGCTTTTTTGAAAAGTTTCCCTCTCTTCTTAAATCTATAGCACATGAAATGTACTTAGGAGACTTCAGAATGAAGTGAAATAGCTAAATATTTCTTGAATAATATGGAGTAGGGCAACTGGGTCTGTTATGACACGACCACTGTGGACTGGAATGCACAGTCATTGCTCATGCTAGCCAGCCTTATGTTAGTGTTTTGCTAAATGTTTTGGAAAACCAATTGCAATATCCTGTTCAAGGTAACTTGTACTCTGTACTACTAAGAAACATGATAGCAAAAGTTCTAACTGTCATATATGTGTGTTTGTGCACAAATTATGATTTCTTTCTGCATGAGATTTTTAAAAGGAAAATGTCAGTTTGATTTTCTAGAAACGAGTTAAGGTGAGAGTGATTTGGCATTTACATACTTGTTTATATGTTCTGCATGCTTAGTATCTCACAATGGTGATTAAACTTCAACATGAGTCAGCAAGAACAGCCACGGTTCACATGTTTCTCAGTATTAAGCTCTGCAATGTGCTGTTAAAGTCAGGATGAGAAAAACTTCTGAAGCTTTAGCAGAAAGTCTGAGTTCAACCTGCATAATAGATGCTACCAAAGTTGTACTGGGAAAAATCTGTGTATCCCTGACAGCACCCATGAAACAGTGTAAATGATTGATTGCTATTTCTTCTTTCTTGAGCACATAATTTTTTAGTGTTCGGTGTGACAAGAAAGGAAGTACACATGAGCCTTCTTCTGGATTCAGCAAACATAGAGGTGCTATTATTTGATTTGCTAATTAAGAGAAGACCATGTTACTGAGGAAAACTGACTGGTAATCCTATCACTTAGTTAGATTTGGATATTTGGCATGTTTTATTATAAGTGAATGAAATGAAATTATCACTTTAAGCAAAAAATGCTCAAAGTATTGGTTGACAATGATAAAATTTATGATCTTAAGAGAAATTGAACCTGACAGTTTCCCTAGAAACTTTCTGATGTCGTCATCAGTGACATGGATGGGGCTGAATAGTCCACCGAATAATGAAATATAGAACATATTCACAGACATGAAATTACTTTCTTTTTTATAAGATGGCCAATTTAATTTGGTACAAAATCATTCATGGCCCAAGAGCTTAGATAAGTGTAACATAAGCCAATTTATTTAAACAACACAGAGGATACATTATAATTGACAAATCTAAGATTCCACATTGAGAACCAATTTTTAAGCAGCCACTTCTTGAGTTTGGGAATAGTATAAAAAGGTGTATCTCCAAAACTCTGAAAATTATGGAAACATATCTTCTTTTTATTGTTTATACTATTAGTTGCAGATAGGTATGCCTACATGAATTCAGACTTTTCTTGTAATTTATCAAATAGTATGCACATCATAGAATATTAATTCAAAATGTAAAGGAATTCCTTTTTTTCAGTCTGGAGAACTGTCTTTTCCTTCACAGGTAACAGTCAGCTTTCCATTATTGCTTCTTATTCCCCTGGCTAAGACTCCAAGTGCACACCACCAAGCCCAGTGTTTAAATGGGTTCTGGGGATGGAACCCTGGCCTTTATGATGTGCAGCAAGCACTTTACAGACTTGAGCTATCTCTCCAGCTAACATCTATTGTTTCATATTATCATAGTACTTATGTTATTTAAAGCAATCAGAAAACCTTCTGTGCAGAACTAGATTTAATTTAGCATTTGACAAACCCTGAACAACAGTCACAAAGGCGGCAGTCAGTGCTAATGAAATATTATGACCTTCTATGGTTAAAGAACATACAAACCCATGTATTATGCTATAAATTGTGTCAAGGCTGTTGTGTTTTAGGCACATATACTGAAATAAAGGTTCTGTAGGTGACAATTTATAGCTGACTACATAAAAACAGAATCAACACTTGGCTAGTGATAGCCAATCAAACACTTAGAAAAGGCTCCTGAAAAGGGTATGGCAGAGTGGACAACACCATGTGCCTCTCTCTTCTCCTTGGGTTCCTGTCAATGGTATTATTGCTGCAAAATGAATACTGTCACCAGTTCCAGAATGACACCTCTCCCGAGGTCTCTCTCCTGCCATTGTTCCTAATCTAGCTGAGGTGATTTTTAGCCTTAATGATTACTTTGTCATTATTCTGGCTTCTAGCATGTTCTTCTGCTAATGCTCAGTGAACTGCCACTCTACTATCAGGAGGATTTTTAAAAATAGCTAGCATTGAATATTATAAAGAAACATGGAATAATGGTACCATTTTTCTTAAATATGAATTCATACATCATTGTAACTGAGGAAAAGCAATATTCAAGTAACTTTTAGCAATTATCATAACATAGCTCACATACAATTAATTGACATCACATTGTACCTCCTTTGCACAGTTCATATCATAGATATTTCTTTTGAAATAACAGTGGGTATATACAAAAATGTAATATCATAGGCATTAAATAATTATGAATAGAATTATGCAAGCACAAATAAAAGATGAACAGCTCTTTCTTTTTACTTTCTTGTTTTCTCTTGTTCCTCACAAAACAATTATAATTCTAACTTTTCCTGCTGCTTTTCCAAGATTCCAATTTTAAGCACACATCAAAAGATGTGAGCATATTCCAAACTGAGAGAACGCTTTGATTCAGTATTTCTCCTGTCTTGCTCGCCTTTAAGAGATTGTAAATCTTTTCTTTCTCTAGCTGCCAGTTACACTGAATTGTTCTGAAATGTGAATGGTGTGTGTGTGTGTGTGTGTGTGTGTGTGTGTGTGTGTGTGTGTATGTGTGTATGTGAATATGAGCACTATCAACCAGGGCAACAATAAGAACTTCACACTTGTCATTTAGTGAACCCTGTCTTTTGAGTCCTGTCAGTCAAGGGCTTCTACATGTGTGCTTCTTGGTTGGAGCAGTGCTGTTCCCGGCAGTTTCTGTTTAGGAATTCATGTCTCTGCTTGGCATTTATGTAGTTCAGCTGTTAGAGAGTTAGGGTAAGAAGAAAGGAAATATGCAGGAGTGAAGGTTTCTGGGCAAAGAGGGAAACAAGAAAGGGCTTTAGGTTGTGAAATAACAATGCCAGCCATGTGGCAGCAATAAGGCACAGGCAGAAGCCCCGAGTTCAGGGAAAGCACAGCCACGCAGATGAAACCCACACCCATCGTGATGATCTGGGTGGCCAAGCATTGCCACAAAGTAAAAGCTGCGTGAAATACTAGTCATTATTGTCAACATCAGCCTCTGTCACTCCCCAGTGCTGAACTCCTTCCAGTGCGTGCTATTGAGCTGACATCTGCCTGAAACACAAAAAGATTTAGAGGAGAAGCCATGTGAATGAAAGGCAAAAGATTTCAAAATCAAACCAGGTTGACAGACTGTGCCTAATTCATAGTGTGGCTTCAAATATGTTCAGAAGTCCAGATATTTATCCAATATTGTCTACATAAAACTCTAACCTTTGAGGTTTTACATTTTAATGGGAAAATAATAGCAGTTGGCTCTATCATCTATCTAACTATCAATCAATCAATCAATCTATTTATCTATCTCCGGCATTTGGAAATACCTTAAGCTTCTTATTACTCCTAAATCACTAGGAAACCTTGAGTTTAGGAGTCAAGGATCAGAAGTAACTATTGTTGTAACATATGAACAAAAGTGATCAAATTAAATTCCATTCCTTTCTAAGAAACTCTGGGAAAGATAATATAGGTGACATTTTCTACTTGTACTTGCCAGAGAATATGGATGTTTCTAAGAATTTTTGGAACCTGTGTCTTATATACATAGAAGATACATAGATCAAGGCAAAACAAGAATTGTTTGCTATGACTCAAAATTCACTCATTTCACTCTGCCCCCTCCCTGAAGAAACTTGATTCTAGAATTTTTCTAGTGAAACCATGCTGGAAATCAAAGATTCAAATAATAAGAAATCTAACACATTAGCAAAATACCTATGCTTTATTCTTTAATAATAATTGTTTAAAAATGATTGTTAAAAATTGTTTAAAAATTCTATTATTATAATAGAAAATCAAAGATATCTCTTTGATTTTCTATTATAGGTGACTAACAAATTAATAAGCATAATGAGACTTTGAATGATGAATACAAAATAACATTACAGCATGTCTAGCTACATGGACACCCACATTTATTTTAACTTCATGTTTGTGTGTCCATATTTAAAAAAACAAAATCAACCTATAGCTAAAATAGTTATCAATTGAAACTAGAATTGTTTACATACTGACAATACCGAGCAACAAGAAGACTAGCTATTGTCTACAATGGCAGTGTTCTTAACACTTAAAATGTCTTTATGTATTCTGGAAATAAATGTCATACTTGTGATACCACAGAAAGTGGAGACCAGAAAACGGCCAGGAGTTTGAGACCAGTCTGGGCTGAGTGCTGAATTCCAGACCATCCTGAATTATAAAGTGAAGCCTGACATCAAAAATAAAACAATACAATATTAAAAGATTTAATAAAAGAATGTTTTAAAAACATAAACTAATACATAGTCAGACCTTATCCTGAAAACTGCTACTACGGAAACAATACAGAGAAGATTGACATGGCCTCTGCACATGGATAAAATACTTAAGTGTGTGAGTGGGGGTAGTATTGTTAGGGGCTGCAGCATATAGAAAATAAATGTTAGTACAGACATAAACAAAATTTTGAAGTGGTAATGTTTGATGTCCTGATATTAGTAATAAAAGGATACCCTAGTCTCAGTTGCTCAAATTGCATGTTTAAAGCTAGTGAATTTTATATTAGTTACATCTCAGAAAACCTGATACAAATGTTTGCAAATTCTCAAATGAATTCATTGTTACAGTCCAGATTCTTGTATCTCACCACAGGATACATGGGGACTGTCCCTGTGCTCCTCTCCTTTCAAGAGTTTCAAACATGGCAGAAGCAGCAGGCATTTTATTAACTTGTCAATCTCTAGCAATCAGCTAAAACCTCGACATATTTAAACACCAAAATGACTGTGTCAATGTAAATATCCTGCAAACTAATAAACTAAACTAAAGCAAATTACAGAAAAATGTAATGTGGGATGCTCCTCCCATATGTGTAATATATACTAATGTTCTGCTACTCAAAAACCAAACAAGCACTTTAAAAACCATATCTTTTCTAAGACATATGCTATCTGACTTTTGATAATGAAACTCGTGTCTTTTTCTGCTACCATCTACTGGGTTAAACTTGAAAGCAAGCATGTATGCTCACACATGTCTCCCAGACAATGAGCCTGTGGGTGGCTGCCACTCTTCAGCACACACACTCACTGAACAGCAGCAGAATCTCTCAGGATCAGTATCAGTGCTTTCCAGTGACTTGTGTTTTCTTCCGCTCAACTTTTTTTTTTCCCCTGACAGTCAGATGAGGTAGGGAAAATGATGCTTGAACAGAAAACAAAACTGAAGGTAAAAACAATCGAGAAAGATTGATTGACCCCACATTATCACCTAAGTGTCAGTAACATGGAGCTACTGGGCGTCTGCAGTGTTTTTCTCTAAATGTTTAGCCTTCCATCAGTCAAATCCCAAGATAACAATCCATCATGGAGTCAAAGTGGCGAACAACTGTGTGGTCCTTTGATAAGGGACAGTGTCACAATTTGTCTCCTTCCCTTCCCACAGATCGCTTCAAATAGGGTAGGGCTATGTTACGACAGCTGCAAAGAGCCCAAAGGCATTCTTCAATGTGGCAAAAATTCTTATGAAATACATACAATAGAGATCTAAGCAGAGATCGTTTATTTAAATTTCATGTTGAGTTTCTTTGCTCTGTTCTTTCTAAACATTATTCTTAACAAACTAATTTTTTAAAGTATGACCAACTGGCAAGGTAGTGACATTTTTTAATGAGACTAAAGTAACAATATCCTGAGTGTTACAATGCGGTCTCTATACAATCTGAGTAATATTTTAAATCTGTGGCTGGACTGAATTTACTTTTAGAATTGCATACAAAGAGGTGCTACAGATAATCAATGTCTTTACATGTCGGTAGGAGTAGTTTTATTTGTTAATGAATAAAGCACTGTTGGCCAATAAGAGAAACGTATTTACAGAATGATATCTCCCATGAACATGTTTGATAGAATATCTGTGCTATCCCTGTTCTTTCTCTAAACTAATGCCTCAGTCTAACCATTGAAGAATGCTTAGTATCCTAGAAAATGAGTGTGTCACACTAGGACCTTTTATGACCCAAATATGCTTCTGGGGTTCATTTAAGCATTTGAAGAACAACATGGTTGAAAATATTTAATGGTAAAGCACTTTTTCTGAGCTTAAATTTCTTTTCTGAGACGATATAATTTCTTATATATGTCCAATTACACTCTGTAATGTCATGTTCCTTTAAGGTCTTTAGCGATATAATCATATTAGTGTATTCATTTATAAAAATGTAAGAACCAACCATATAAATAAAAACAGAGGGTATCATTTTCACTGAGCATAGACAAGGATGTGGTACAATAAGGCCCATAAAAATGAGGATATCATTAGAGCAGGGCATCAAAGGGAGAAATAAATCACTGAGCAAGAATGAAAGAACTAAACAAGCTTTAACCAATATCTGCCTTGAGATCAATCCTGTTGGTCCTGGTTGAGTACACTTAGAATCGGGCTCTACATCTTGTAAACATCCAGTAGTAAAGAAGTGCCTACCTTGCCTCAACAGTATACTACCTTCCTTGGTGACAGGAAAAGTATTATGTATTTCATGAAAATATCTGTAGTACCTAAAAATTTTTAGTACCTAAACTATCTAAAAAAGTTTTATAAATGTTGACCACTACTCTGTCTTACTTTCCTTCACATTGTGTTTTAATCCATAAACTTCGTGTTTCCTAAACTGATACTTGGAATGAGTTTTTAAAAATTATCCAATTACTTTCTTGTGCCTAATGGAGGCCAAGTGTTATTCTCGATATGTCTGCCCTTCATATTTCTGGGAAAATAACTTGGAAACTCCACTTTCGTGTTTCTTAGATGACTCATTAAAATTGGATGTTCTATCCTAATTGGTTAATAAATGTAATGAGTCCCCACAAACGGACTGTATGAGACTGAAACCACACTCAAAGACCAGTGAAGAAATAACATCACAACACCACTAATAAAGACTCTAAAATTAGGAGTATGGTAAAGTATGTGAAGTGATTTGTTGGCAAATTGTTCCAAATTAAAGGTGTTTCAACCTGAAAAACTGCTAGAAATATGCTTCTTATTTAGCAATACCTACCCCTCAAAACAAAAAAGCAAGAGTTTCTAATGCAGTGTGTTTCACTCCAGGCATATAAGTTCTTCTGGCATTCCAAATTCCAAATATTCTGGAAAAAGAAGTTGCCAAGGTTCTATAGCAATATAGAATTAAAGACTATGCTTGTTGAAGTTTTAAATTTTCATTTATTTTTATTTTTAGTACTATTCACTTGGATTAAAATAGCTCAAGACAACACTCACACTCACTTTGAAGTGCGGATCCACAAGGTTGGTAGGATTTGGCCTGCTGCCATGCCATCAGGACAAAAGACTTTGTTGTAACTAAAGAGAACACTGATTGCTATTCCAACCAAGTGAGAGAATTAAGTCTATAGTGTGTGTAGCAATTCAATAAGCATGTTATAACAGCATTTTGCCTGCAGGAATTATTTATAAGAATATTTTCAAACATGGATAATTATGAAATAGGTCAATTCAGCTACCAAATACAAATTCCTGACAGTAACAAAGTAAGAAATCCATTGTGATATCCTGGTCAGAAGCTTCCCCACCTCTCCTAAATGATTTCCTGAACAAAGACACATCCACATGTCCACACAAATATGTACACACATCACATGTGTCTCAGTATGCAAATGTTTCTGGTAGTAACTCTTAGCACATAAAATAGATGATAAAGCATGTCTGTTCTAGAGGGCAACTGAACAGTTATGTGTGGCCATCCAGTGAGGACATGCTTAAAATGACACAGTTTGAGAAAACTGTGCTAAAGATCAGGTTCTATTTTTAGGCAGCATTCATTTTTTTTTAGACAGATGTTGAAAACCCATAAAGAGGATTTTTAAACATGTTATTACTGCTAAGTTATTGCACCCTTAATGTGGTCCGTACTGTAGCAATAGGAGCTCCAGGAAAACATCTTTTCTCTCTGTCTCTTTTTCTCTCTCTAAACTTTATTTATAGCCCAGCAAAAGACTAGCATTCACATAACCCGTCTGTGCAGGCATGCCAGAAGATTAATGATATCGCAGTGTTCTTGAGAACAAAACTGTGTCTACCACAGTGTTGAATAATCTCTCCTTTCACACATTAAAAGTGAGATGAGGCCTACTTTGGAGAGCACGGACAATGTGTCACAAAGACCTGCTCTGCTTACAGACACGCCTATGGCTATCCTGAGTCACAAAATGTTTTTGTTCATGTTATCTTAGGAAGAAGAAAGCTTTTTATCACCATCACTTTTTCAAAAATTTACATACAGCCTCAAAATCTGACTTTTTCAACATGTTTTTCCCCAATCTGTTGCTGGTAAGAATTGAGAATACCCAGAGAGTTGTACAACACAACCTCTTATCTCAGCTCTTCTCAAATTTAGCTGGGAAGACTGAATGCTATTTAAGGAGTTAATGTTTTAGGTGGAATTCTTTTCTGTTACAGTTTCCTTTTTCCTAATCATCAGTAATGATAATAATATGGGCTGTATTTTCGTGAAACAATCTTCACATCATGTAACATGCCCAGGGATCACCCCTACCACATCTCCAGTCAGCCTCCTGGGAATTAATTGCTATTGTTATCCCCCTGAATTGGTATTATCTTCTTCAAGATATCTACAGCTCCCTGGAAAATCATTCCTCTGATAAGGAAAACACAACTCACACTCTGGTTTGGAGTCTTAAAGCCACATTCTAAACAATTGAAAAACTGCCTCCCAGGCCATATATTCAACATAAGCTTTTTCTCAAACTCATGGAACTTACTGATTGTTTGTTATTTCTAGACATTTTATTATAAGTATTCATATATTTTGTTATATGTCAGTTTGTTAAAATTTAAAATTGCAAAAATTAAAAAAAGTTCCAAATTCTAAACTGTAGTAAACTGTAGTAGAATCTTGAAAATTAAGACTATCAAGTCCTAGTCATTTAGTGTTTTGCATAGCTGCATAATGGAATGTATAATGTTTGAATGAACTTTCATTTCTATAATGTTAAAATTCACATATGCATGTATAGTTTGAGTGACATTACCCTTAAATTATGGTATACGAATGTTAATATTAATTTGAACATAGGTTTTTATGATTCATAGCACTTAAAGTGTATGCATACACTTCACATTCCAGACATTTTGTTCTAGTTCTCCACTTCACAGTATATTTAGATTTTAGTGAGAAATATAAAAATAAAGTAGGAAATGATGAAGTGTTCTAGCAAATAAAGGCTTTGCCATCCAAAACCAATGATCTGAGCTCAAGTCCCAGAAGCCACAAGATAGAGAGAACCAATGCTTGAAAGTTTTCCTTTACCACACCCCTCTATATACACATCCTCATTCTACATAGTACTAAAAATATTATAAAAATAAAGTAG